TTATGCGTATGAATTATATTGTGAATATGGTATATTCTTATGAGGTTTATATGAATAACGTTGTGGAAAGTAGTAATTGTGTACATGACATGAGTTTAGTGCTGTAATTAAATATATGTGTACTTAATTTGAAAAATTATATGTCAAACCAATGGTATAGGATGATTAGCAATGATAATAGATGTTTAAGTATTGTTTTTACCATATGTCGATTAATTTCTATAACTTTCGATTAGTATACCATGTTAGTCATTTGCTTATAACTTTAGTGACCTAGATCTTTTAAGAATAAAACTGAGACTATTAAAAACTAGATAATATTTAATAAGAAATAGATTATGATCTGAATCAATTCCGTTATGGAAAAACCTAGAAAACTGAATTGCAAGTTTAGTTAATGTTTTTAAAACTCTACAGCACAACTATTTTACATGTTGTTAGTAATTTGGACACAACTCGCTATACACAAGTCCTTTAAGAGTATATCTTATATCATAAAAAAATAGACAAAATTTCCTACATATTAAACTTAATAAGAATCTCATTCCACTAAGTTCAGTAGGAGAAATACTAGTTACAAGTCTGACTAAACATTCTTCTCGGTGCTTGTACTTGTTCCTATTGTTTGATTAAACTATACAATTTGGGATCTTAAGTCCTAAAATAAAAATAATAGTCTTAAAAAAGTCCCTCTTATATTTCTAAAACATATTCATTTGCTTAATTCTGACTTTATTTGATATTTAAAATTCCGAATTTGAGGTATGACTAGCAAGAAACATGATTTTGGGGTTGTTTTAATAAGATGCTATGTGAATTATATTAAGTTGTTAATGTTTTAGGACACAAGTTCATTTTTTGATAATACGTGTACGAGTTAAGTTATTAAGGTTAGGATGCAAGTCCAGTGTTGATGTGATTTATGATTAGGTTCGAGAGAACCAGTGTTGATATGTTTAGGTTTGGGAGAACCAATGTTGGTATGTTTAGGTTCGGGAGAATCAATGCTGATATGTTATAGGTTCAAAAGAACCAATGTTAGCCTTAACCGACACTATTGTGAATCACTCAGCAAAATAACTCTAATATCCAAGACTTTGGTTAAGTGTTGTAGGACTTCAGTCAAGTGTTGTAGGAATTTGGTCCAGTGTTGCACGACTTTGATCCAGTGTTTTGACTGGTGCATGAGAATGGGAGTAGGAGGTTCGGATGGAGATTTTTTGTGTTTGATTGATCATGCATCATGTATATCAGAGATCGGCTTAGGACTTTGGTCCAGTGTTGTAGGACTTAGTGTAGTGTTGAGGATCACTCAGTAAAATAACTCAGATATCCAGTGTTATAGGACTTCGATTCAGTGTTGCAGAATGGTACCATGTGCATGAGAGTATAGGAAATATGCATTGCATAAATAATTTGTATATGGTACATCTGTTTTGACTGAATATGTTTGATATATGTTATCCTTGATATTTATACACCATTTAAATTGTGGAATATATTCTCACCCCTTTCTTGTCTCTATGTTTCTACTTTTGTACTTTATACAGGTAATCGTCGGGTTAAGACTGAGGAGTGATAGCGTTGGTTACCTAGGATATCATTGTTGTCCTTTTTAATAGTTTTCTTATATTTTGTTGTATCTTTTATCGACTGCCTAGTTTTGTATTCGGTGTCACTATAATATTATAATATCGGGTTGGGGATTTTGTTATGTCATTAAGTTGTTTTAAACATATCACTTTGCTATGTTTTATGATGCTATGTTTTGACTTCAATTGTGAATTTGAAATATCAATTGAAAGGTTTTTGTTAATGTGACACCTTTGCTTTTATCTTCATATATTTCGCAATGTTTTATAAATTATACTTGGGGTTTAGGGTGTTACATATGGTGGTTAGTGATTTCCCACAACGGAGAGAAGCCCCCTACGGTGGTGAGGTGAGAGGATATGTTATTGAGTTGTATGCTTAGTGTAGCGGAAAAAATTTGAGACTAAGTGATTGATTGACATAACTCACAAAGTAAAAGTCGCCACCGCACTTTTATTTTATCCAAAGGAATGGAAAAAGAGAGAATAAAACCTGAAGTGAGAAAGAGATCAAGTTAAGGAGTTGGTTATGCAAAGGGAAGGTATTAGCATCCTAAGCATCTACGGTACTCCGCAAGAACCTCTTTGGAAATCTGTGTATTTTTGCTATAAAGAAATATTTACAAAATGAGATTGTGGAGATGAGAAAAGAAGTTATTTTTACAAATTTTCACTCACCGCGGTTGCAAACCTTTTGTGCCTACGTACCCTCTTAGTGCAATAGAGGATCAGGGCACTCGTAGTTCTTCTCAAAAAATTTGAAAAGTTTTATGTGTTGGTTAATTTTAAGAAAAAGGTTTTAAAGAGAAAAAGCCAAAGAAGCAAAAGGTTTGAAATTGTTTTGTATTTTTTAAGTATTGGAAAAAGAAGTCATATCTTGATTAAGATTGATTGATGAATTTATTAAGAATTTTTTTTTGAAAATGCATGGACCTAAATCTAAGTTTTTTATGAAAGCGGTTCAAGTTAAAAAAAAAAGAAATGATTTGTTGTTGAGAAATGAGGGAGTAGACACGGCTAATGCTAGGAAGAGGGTCGAGCAAGAAAATTTGCATGCGAATATTGTGATAATAGTCATTGAGGCCCTTCAGAAAGCACATAACATACTTCGTGTGCTTGTAATTACGCACAACCTTGGCTAAATCACAAGTGCAAGGTGTAGGGCAAGTGCAAGAAGGAGTAGGTCTTAAATCCTCTAGTTCATCCCAAAGAATCTTCAAGGTAGTAAAATAAGCAGACAAGGATCCATCTCCTTGTTGTATAGAATGTAATTCACGAAGGAGATCCAAAAATCCGAAATGATTACCTTTTGTGAATCTTTCACATAGATTCTCCCACAGCTCGAACGCAGGCAAATCGTACTATGAGCAATATGAGGGGAAAGAGTCTAATTGATCCATGAAAGAACCATGCTATTAGCACGTTCCCAGAGTTCATAATTGGGGTCAGAAATCGAAGGTTTCGTGAGTTTTCCATTGATAAAAGATCTCTTATTCTTGGAGGTTAGGGCACGACACATAGATCGACTTCAGTTATGGTAGTTGTTATCATCAAGGGGTGGAGCGACAATGGTGGCGCCAGGATTTTCTTTGGGATGAACATAGAACGAATCACTAGGGTTAAGGGTAGGATTTGTTGCGATGTTTTTGGGAGTGTTATTGAAACTTTATTTAGGGGTACCAGGGGGTTTGATTCATCACCATAAGCCATTGTTGAAGAATGAGAAGGATGAAAGAAGAAAAACAAGAACATGGGAAGGTATAAAAATCAAGAATGAATGTATGGAGAAAAGGGAAGAAATGTAACGATTGATAAGAGGATGAAGAATGAAATGAAATGTTGCGGAAGGTGAAAAGAAGAATGAATGTATGGTCTACGGATACTATGTTACAAGTGATAAACCCGTCTTGAGAAAATGAAAGGAAAAAGGAAAAGTTTGAATAAAGGAATTTGCTGATATCTCATTGAACCAAATTAAGAGGTACGTTACAATATATACAAAGATGAATGGGCCAAGCTAACATAACCCTAAGACCCAAAAGAGAAACTTAAAGTCCAATAAAGCTATGTATCTAATAAAAAATAAAAAATTTGGAGCATAATTATATTCATTGGTTCAGTTCATTAATTTTGTGATTCTTAAAAATTAAAACTGAGAATTAAACCAAACAACATCAATTTTTATAGATTTGATTCGATATTAAAATCAAACCAAGAACAAATGATTTTATTTCAATTTAATTTGAATTTAATTATCAATTTAATTTGTTTTTGTCGGATCCGCTTAGCTCCTAATTTTTTTTATTCATTCAATTATCATAATCAATGTTGACAATAATTGTGGGAAGTTTATTCTTCAACGTGAGAAATGACAATGATAGTTTAATTAAAATTAAAATAAATGACATGGAACAAATTAATTTACGTATAGTGTTTTAATTGGAATATCTATGGAAATGCTTTTAAGGTTTGTCCATAAAAATGCAGACAAAATCTCTCTAATTTTCCCTAAATGGTTTATTATAATTTATATAAAAGATGGTTGGTTTAATATAAAAATTATAAACTAAAAAAATTAAAATTAAAATTATAAAAAAGAAAAACATGCATTGTTTATTTTTTTTAAATTAAATATTAGATAACTTTTTTGAAAATCGGCTATAATAAAGGCTTACATACCAATATAGGTGTTTAATAGATATATTAATGTTTTTAAAAATAACTATAAATAAAATTAGTTTTTTAATAGAATAAATAAAACCATTGCTATAAATAATCATATAAAATTCTAAAGATGAAAGAGTAGAAACCTTGTATAAAAGAAAAAAGCAATAGCAAATGAATCAATTATATCAAACTAGTATAAATGTATCAATACAAAATGCCATAAAAACATATAAAAAAACCTTAGTTAATAATAAAACTAAATCAAATTTCTTTTCTACTAAAACATGCCATTGTACAGTAAAAAAAAAACATGCCATTGTACCCATTCTGAAGAGAAAAAAACCCTATTTCTCATCAACAAAGCATCAACGACATATCATTTGTTACGGATATTACATCTTCTTTCCACATAATTCACTCTTTGTATTTGCCCTATCCATTAATCTGCATTAGTGAACTTTTTACGTAAAAGAGAAAAAAAATTATTGAAATAATAAAATAAGTTATAAAATCATATACTTGTTACTTTTGAGATGAATCTTTTTCTACAAAGGATTGTTAATCGCCTTAATAAATCCTATCAATATCAGAATCTGGAATGAATAAATCATCAACAAATTGTTTTTCCTCTTCATTCAAATCATTTTTTGCACTAATATGTGTATCAACACCACTAAAAAGATCGGATTCTTTATTATTGGAGACTCCTTCACTCAATTGTGTAACCCTTTAATTTTTATTCTAATTTGTATTAGATGAAGATGCATTCATCGTAGCTTCTATATTATTTTCACTATTGTGATAATAATTAGAGTTATTACCAACATTGTTAAATATTGGAATATTTGGAATTTGAGAACTAGTAGAAGCTCTCAAAGAATAATCCATTAAAAATTGTGGTTCAAGATTTGGAATTTGAGAACTTGTAGAAGCTCTCAAAGAATGACCCATTAAAAAATATGGTTGAAGATTTGGAATTTGTGATTGTAAATGATTTACTTTACAATAATCTAGTAACTTTTTTACTTGATATAACTCTTCAAAATTATCTTTAATCCTGTCATAACATTCTTTAATAACCTCAACACATCCGTGAATCGGATATATCGCACGAACATTTGACTCATAAATAATTGTTCTCATTGCTAAATCTCTCTTCTCTTCTAGAACTTCATCTAGAATCCTCAGTATGTCAACAACACCATACAAACAATGAACATTATGAAACATTATTGGTTTATTGGCCGGAAAATAAGGAGCTAAAAGACAATCTTTTAATAAACACTTTCTCCTTTGATGTTTGCAAGCTGCACAACCCTTGTTTGGTTTGATAGTATTCATTGTTAAGAGGGAACAAATGATTTTTGAAAAGAAACAAAGAGGGAAAGAAGATGGTTTTTGGTGATAATGGTTTAATTAGGTTAACAATTTGAGACTACCAACCATGTTATTTATAATGATAAGATAGTTAAATAATTAGTAACAAACTCTCTAATTTTTTCTCGCTTATATGCATTATCTTTAAAATATAGCCAAAGTTTGTTTCTTTTATTTATCTTTTTTTAAGCTATTAATTATTTAATAATGTGTTGTTTAGTTTTTTTTTCAAGCAACGAATTTGTGTTGGCCTCCCATGCACCACCCGCACTGTTATTATTAAATATATAATTTTAAAAAATAAATTAAACTTCAGTTGAAATAATGACGGGGAGAATATATACTTTAATTTTAAGATATTATCTTTTATTAATAAATTTTTTTATATTTTTTAATTATGACTTTATGCTTTTGAAAGCACAAATAATATTGTGAGAATGCTTAAAAATAACCGAGCATCATTTCTATAACTGAAGAAATACAAATTTATAGCGGCGGATAAACATTTAGGAATTGTTAATCTCATTTAAAGTGGTGGAAAACTACTCTAAAAAAATTCAAAAATATTCCTCCATTTTTGGATATGCATATTATTCATCACTAAAACACGTCTCAATTAAGCCTCCTCCTATATATTTTAAAAAATAAATATTTATCAATTTATTTTTAATTTAACAATTCAATGATTTTTTCTAGAGTGCATTTTCGAATTTGGGAAATGAAAATTTGAAAATCTGTCACTTTTGCATTTCAGTCATTTTTGGAGATTCAATTTTTGATATATCAAATGTGATTTTTAATAAAACGGTACCCTTCATGATCATACTCCATAATTATTCTTACTCCAAACCCTTTATAAAAATCCTTCCATTTTCATTTAAGGTTTTCACTCCAAAATTTCAATTGTGTTTCACTACATCAAAAGGAGCAAAAGAACCTGAAATTTAAGGTAAGATCGTGTATTTCAATCCTTATTGCTCACATTAATCTTATTTCAAAACTGATTAAAGTTACATTGGTTTCGGAAATACATTTTCGGATTCTTTATGAACTCCTACGAAAGTACATTTCCGAATATTGTCTATTATCATTTTCAACTGTCATTGAATATTTTATGTTACTGTTAGCATTAGATATGATGTACCCTATTGTTTATCCAAAACCTATTGTGTCTACAAATGTCTGATATGTTGAAGTGAAGGAGGTGGATGTTGCCAACCAATTTACAAATGAAGAATGAAGGTAAGAAAATACACAAGAAGTGGAGTTGAATTGTATTTAAAGTGCAGAAGCAATAAGTAAATTCAACACAAAGTTATCAAGGTTCTTCTATAACGAGATTAGTCCAATCCCCTTGCCACACAAGAGATTTTCACATAATCATAACTTGATTACAATTTACTTAGACACACCAGTCCAAGACTTTCTGCTCAATCTCACTAGAAAGAGACTTTTTGCCCAAACCAATTGTCTAGGACTTCTTTGCTCAATTAACCTGAAAGAGACCTCCTTGCCTAAACTAACTGTTCAGGACTTCCTTGCTCAATCAAACTAGAATGAGACTTCCTTGCCTAAACACAACTATTCAGGATTTCCTTGCACAACCAAACTAGAAAGATACTTCCTTTCTCAAACACTCAACCTGAAACTTCTTTGCTTAAACACTCAGTTTGAGACTTTTACAAATCCTAAACAAATTGTTTATAATTACAATAAGGTGTACCTGATATTCAATCAGAGGTACAAATGATACAGCACACGCAAAGACCTTGATACTTGATATTTCTAAGATATACAAGTGTAAGAACCTTTTAAGTCTATGTGCAATACAATAATTATAAACTGTAACTTGGAGTGAGAGACAATTCTTGCAGTATTCTGGTTTATGTTGTTGTTCTTTTCATATTATTCTTGTTACTTTGTTTGAATCTTTAGCTCCTTATATACAGGGAACAAAAGATACGTTGGAAGATTTCTTGTACAGGTGTCTTTGTAGAAGAAATGGTTTCCAAGAGAGAGACATTGGAGTTGGTACGATGAATATCTTCATCTTCTGAATAATTGATTTATCAATTGTGTATATCTCAAGTAAGGCGTCCATAGGCATGGGATAGTAGACTAAAGAAATCATATTATTAGCCTTGAGTCTTGTGCTAAAACCTCTAGTTGACTTACTCTATAATTCTAGTCGTTGACAAGATGGATTTGCTTTCACACAGAGTAAGGACAAAAGAGCTTGTACTGTGTTTCTAGCAGAGCGCTTGAAGTTTTTTTTTAAATCATCAGAGGCAAAGTCAATGTAGCTCTGAAGTTACATTTGAAGATCATATACTAAAATAATATGGCGTTGAGGTCTTATACGAAATCTATGGCCTGTTAGAATCTGGATTTACTCGCTTCTTCTTTGCAAGCCATTGACTGGGTCAAAACCTAGATAATTATAAGCTTAATGATCTTGCACACTTAACCAAACATTAGTATACTCTATTTTTATGTAATTAATTTTTTATCATCAAAACCCAATGAGTATGAGCTCAAAGATTGTGAATAGATTTTGTTCCAACAAAGAAGAGTTTGAATTTTGTGATCATATGCTTCAATGGATTTGCACATAGAAATCTAAATTGGGGTTTGTTATTGTAATTGGAAGGGAAGATAATGTTTCATATAGAAGATTTGCACTTGTGACAATGAGATTTGAAATAAGTGGAAAGTATAGAACTTCTTTCCGGAAATTCAAATGGGATGACACTAGTTCAAGAAAATATGAGTGCCACATTAAGTTGTGTGGTTATCGGTTGTCAAATAAAAATAGATATTTAATGTGATATGTGTTTTACATAACCATGACATGTGTGAAAAACTAGTCAGTCATTCAATCGCATGTCACATCATGCCGGAAGAGAAGGAAATTATTTCAGAAGTGACATTGAAAATGGTGCAATTGAAAAACACAATTGCAACTTTGACACGTAAAGTACTCAAAAATATCTCAAAATCAAACAAGCGACAATATTTGGGATATTAATAACAAGGTGTTGAGGGGGGATAAAACTGAAAAAGCAATAACAATTGAAACTTCTGGATAATAACATTTATGTATCTAGGTACCAAACTTGCGAGAATGGAGTAATTGTTCAAGATATATTTTGGACTCATCTTAATTCCATCAAGTTGTTCAACATATTTTATATTGTGCTCATCATTTATTCATCTTATAAGACCATAAGTACAAGCTTCCACTTTTAGAAATTGTTGGTGTTACCTCTACTGAGAAGATTTATTCTGTCATTTTTGCATTTCTAGAGAGCCAAAAAGAGGAAAATGCTACTTGGGCTTTAGATTTGTGCCGATCAATGTTAAAGGAAAAAGAAGACACACCTTGTCATCAACTGTGATACCACTTTTATGAATTCAATTGCAAAGGGATTTAGATTTGTATCAATCACTGTTGAAGGACAAAGAAGACTTAAAAGACTTATTCTGTCAGTTTTGCATTTCTAAAGAGCCAAAAAGAGGAAAAGTTACTTGGGCTTTAGATTTGTGTCGATCAATGTTGAAGGACAAAGAAGACACACCTTGTCATAGACCATGATACCGCTTTTATGAATTCAATTTCAAAGGTCTTTCCTACTTGTTATGTGCAACACAAAAGTAAAGCATTAACTATAAAGAGGCATTCTCTCCAGTGTCTACCAAATATTCTCTTAGGATCATGATGGCATTAGTAGCTAATTTTGATTTAAAATTGCATTTGATGGATGTAAATACTGCATTTCTAAATGGAACCATTGAAGAAACAATATATATGGTGCAACTAGAAAATTTTGTGTCAGGAGACCCAAATTCTATGGTTAGTAAACTCAAGAAATCCATCTATGGGCTTAAACAAGCTTTTCATCAATGGTATTACAAATTTCATCAAGTTATATCCTCATTTGGTTTTGAGGTGTATCCAGTTGATAATTGTGTGTACCAAGAGTTCTGTGGGAGTAAATTCATTTTCTTGGTACTATATGTAGATGATATCAGATCTTACCGGATCATAATTGGACCACCACAACTGGCTCAAGCTGGATCTGGGAGATGGGGGGTACCTGCAAGGCACTCCGATGATAAAGTAAGCGATGGAATGAGCAGGAAAATTGTATATAGGTGTCTTAGAGAATGAATACCTGACCCTCTTGGAACAAAGGGTATTCATAGCCCTCAGTTCTGGGTCAAGGTCCCTTTATTGGGCTGACCAAAACTGGCCCAACAAAGGGACTTACAGGTTCTACGTGTGTAGTGGGGACCTGCACGTGGTCCCCTTCCTGGGTGATGCTCTGCGAAGAACAAGGAAGACCGAAGACGCGGTCTTCTCAGAGCTCTAAATATTCTGAAGCATCCCGAAGGACTGAGTCTACCCTACAGGGAAGATGCTCGAGCAGGGCTCGAGTTGGGATGTCCGTGTCGGGGACGTTTTTTCATTGCAGGCAGCAGCGGGCCTACTCGTAACGGCCCGTGACCGGGTACGCTCGGGGAGTCTGGTTTCCAGCATAACTTGAGGCACGGCTTGGATCTGGGCCTTACTTGTGATTTGGGCCAAGGGCAGGCCTAGTCCAGAACAGGAGCCCCCCAAGTCGTTGTTCCTGGCATAGGAGTTACGACTTGATCCTAGTTCGCCTTTTCGCAGGGACTTCATGTCCGATGCTGGGTTTTCCATGTCGAGGTGTGCTCGAGGATTACTTGTGGAGATGCGTCGGTTGTGTCTATCAGACACGTGGTGTGGTCCTTGGAAATCGCAACTACGCCCTAGTGAATAGGGCCATCATTATCTAGGTGAGTAGGTGTTGAGCACGGGGGCGGTTCGTGGCTCCCCGGTGCGACGTTTCGTATTCCATGTCATCTCTATAAATAGGATCCCTGGGCCCATAGTCCGTTTCACCTCCTCAAGCCTCTCCTACTTTCTCTATTTTTACTGT